CCTTATCTATCTTCTTCATCCCTCATCTATCTACTCCTTCTTTCCTGCTCCTTATCTATCTTCTCCTTGTCCTTTTCTGCTCATTATCTCTTCCTCTATTTCTCCTTTACTGCTCCTTATCTATCTTCTTCTTTTCTGCTCATTCTACTCCTCCTCTATTTCTCCTTCTTTCCTGCTCCTTGTCTATCTTCTCCTTTTCTGCTTATGTCCTCCTCCTCCTCCATCTCTCCTTCTTTCCTGCTCCTTATCTTCTCCTTCATCTTTTCTGCTTATCTCCTCCTCTTCCTGCTCCTCCTCTTTCTCCTTCTTTCCTGCTCCTTATCTATCTTCTTCACCCACTCATCTGTGGTATCTGCTCCTTCTTCTTTCCTGCTCACGATCTCCTCCTTCTCCTCCCTCTCCTCCCCTGCTCATTATTCATCTTCTCCCCCTCTCCCATTTACTTCCCCTTCCCCTTCTTTCCTGCTCATTATTCATCTTCTCCTTCTCCCTTTCTGCTCGTTATCTGTCCTCTCCTCCTGTTTCCCCTTCTCTCCCTTGCTCCAATGTTCGTCAAAACAGTCATGCTTGGAACCGACTGCTATGTGCCAAATCCTCCCCACCCCCCACCACCCCAGAATAATCTGATTAGCAAGGTGATCACGCTTGGCTCTGGCTGCAAATAGGGTCATTTGTTATAAGCCTTTCCCAGATCTTGCGGCTGCCAACCAATCTTTACCTTAAAACATGGGGGGTGGGTGGGCGGGGGGTAGTGGATCACACGGTGCAGCCCCAGAGTTTTGTGCTGTTTTGGGCTTCACAGGTCATTTGTAAACTTCAGCAGAAAATGACTTCTATGCCACGCTTTTTAGTCTTTAGTCATTCTGGAGGATCATTTGCAGATTTTTTTTTTCCAGTCTTCTGCAGCAGCTGAGCTGAGGCTACTAGTATACTCTTTACTTGCTTTTCACTTAACGCAGCATTTACACAGCCATTAAAGTGTAAGTGAGGTTTATAGCTAAAGCATTTAGTATCACTCCTGTTAATACAGCTCCAATCACGGTGGAAATTCACAGGGTTTAGCAGCTTTCTTTCTTCCCCATTTTTTTTTGGCCAAGTATCTCTGGCAGGCAGAATTTTAACCAAGGATTAGATTACAGATTAACAGAGTTGGAAGGGACCTTGTAGGTCATCTAGTCCAACCCACTGGCCAAGCAGGAGACCCTATGCCATTTCTGACAGATGGCAGTCCAGTCTCTTCAAGCTTTGACGTTATTGGGGGGGGGGATAGGTCACAAAGGATCAGCTTGTTCTGACCAAGGCTTCCTGAGACCATAATTAAGCACACGCTTAGTCCAAAAAACCCTTGCTTTATTTCAATGCTGGGAATTATGTTCATTCCCAGCCAGTAATGAGTCCCAAATAGTTCCCCGAGATAAGCACCCACCTTTCTCTCCTTTGAATTGCTGCCAACAACTAAAGTGCCAAATTAACTGTAAAAAACCAACCGAAGTACAAAGTCCACACAGAGCTTCGAGGTTTAATCTGAACAGAGCAAATAAAGTTGCTTCCTGCAAAGACTCCTGTCCCTTTGCTCCTCCTTTATGTCTTATGGGAGGGGGAATCACAATTATTTTGGCTGCAGGATTCAATCTGGGTCGGTCACCGGGAGCAAAGGTTTTGTCTTAGGAGCTTTCGGATTCAGGGAACTTCAGGTTGTCTTCCACTTTACGACCATCATTGAATCCAGAATTTCGGTGGCTAAGGGAAATGTTTCTTATGTGTTTGCCCCATTTTACGACTTTTTCTTGCCACTTTCATTAAGCGAATCACTGCAGTTGGCAAATTAGTAATACGCTTGTTCGGTGAAACTGGTTTCCCCATTGATTTGGCTAGTCAGAAGGTTGAAAAAGGGGATCATGTGACATCTGGACACTGCCACAGTCATAAATACGAATCCGTCGCCATATGGCTGAGTTTTGATCACGTGACCGTGGGGAATGCTGTGATGGTCGTAAGTGTGAAAAACTGTCCTAAGTCACCCTTTCCAGTGACGCTGCAACTTTGGTCACAAAATGAACTATTGTAAGGACTACCTGTACATCTAAAAAACTGCACAGTTTTTTTTTCTGCTGCTTTTCGGAAAAGATGGGATTGTTGGACAAGCAGGGAAAAAAACAGCCAGGGAAGAGACTGAAGCCTGGGGAAAAAAGGCCTCTCATCAGCCAACAGGAGGGCTGATTTACCACCAACCTCTACTTAGAAACAGAATAACTGAGTTGGAAGGGACCTTGTAGGTCATCTAGTACAACCCCCTGCCCAAGCAGGAGACCTACACCAGTGATGGCTAACCTTTTGGGGCTCCTGTGCCAAAAATTGCTCATGCACTCGCATGCCAGCACCCAGAATGCAATGCACGTGCCCCCTCCCTATGCCCCCTGCACATGCAATCCCTCCCCGCCACCCCCTTACCTGCACTGCACCTCACAGCTGATTTTTTGGGCTGGTTTGAGGTCTTTTTTAGGCCTCCCAGAGGCTTAGAAAAAGCCTCCAAAAGGCTTTTCAGGCTGAATTATAAGCCCGTTTCATGTAATACCAGAAGTGATGAAACGGGCCTATAATTCGTCCTGAAAAGCCTCGCAGAGGCTCTGGGAGGTCGAAAAAAGGCCTCAAACTAGCCGAAAAAAATCAGCTGTGAGGCGTGCGCATGCGCAGTGAGGTAAGTTTGTCTGTGGCTCGTGTGCCAGTTCAAATGGCTCTGCGTGCTACTTGTGACACACATGCCATAGGTTCGCCATCAAGGCCCTAAACATTTCTGACAGATGGCAGCCCAGTCTCTTCTTGAAAGGTTCCAATAATGAAGCTCCCACAACTTCTGAAGGCAACTTCTGTTCCATGGGTTGATGGCTCTACCCGTCAGAAAATTGCTCCTTATTTCCAGGTTGAATCTCTCCCTGTTCAGTTTCCATCCATTCTTCCTTGTCTGGCCTTCAGGTGCTTTGGAAAATAGCCTGACCCCTTCCTCTCTTTGACAGAAGGTAAGGGCTGGGCCACACAAGCAAAGGACAGCCAATGACTTAAAAGCCAGCCATTCACACACCCCAATCAACATCTAAAAAGCCACACACAACCAGGCACCATATAAATACCACACAGAGAACACCACACACTCTGCTAGAGAGAAGTTCCCTGAAGATGGGCTCCAGCATGAATCCAAAAGTTTGGAAGTCTGGTCCCAGTTTACAGACCTAGATGAGATCCTGCAACATTATCCTGGGACAAACTTTTGTAGATTCGCCTTCATTTGTGACCATTTTGGTCCACACAATTGCTCAACGCAGAAAGTTAATTAACTTATGGCAAAGAGGTAACAACCCAACTATGCTATGATGGTCATTCAGATTGCATTTGCATCAATAGAATAGAATATTTGTAGCTCAGGGTTGAACTGCGGGGTCCCAGATGCTCTCTGAGTGCAATTTAATTGTCTAAATTTAATTGGGCTTTAATTTAAATAGATGGAGTTATTTTAATTTACATTTCGTATCTCATACTAAAGACCATGAAAGCACAATGCGGCTACTATGCCCGCAGTTTAATTGTTCTATATTTTAAAATTCTATTTTAATAGTAATAACACCAACACCGGGACTGCAAAAAACTGCACTATTCGGAACACTGTATATTTTAAGAAGATACTTGGTTGATACCTAAGGATGCTGGCAGCAACCCGTATCAACCATTAGCACCAGTCACTGGTATTGGTGATACATTTTAAAATGTTCAGTTGACTGAATTTCATGTTTAATGAATAAAAGAGATAACAACAACAACAACAACACTAGTAAAAAAGAGGCCTGTGAAAATATTTACAGACTCCTCACATCCTGGACATAAATTGTTTCAACTTCTACCCTCAAAACAACACTAGAGCTCTGCACACCAAAACAACTAGACACAAGGACAGTTTTTTCCTGAAAGCCATCACTCTGCTAAACAACTAATACCCTCAACACTGTCCAACTATTGACAAAGTCTGCACTATTATCAATCTTCTCATTACTCCTTATCGCCCATCCCCTCCCACTTGTAACTGTATGACTGTAACTTTGTTGCTTGTATCCCTACAATCTATACTGACTGTTTCCTAGTATGATTTGATTGTTTATTGTACCCTATGACTCTATAACCCTATTAAGGGTTGTACCTTGATTCTTGACTCTTGACAAATGTCTCTTTTCTTTTATGTACACTGAGAACATTTGCACCAAGACAAATTCCTTGTGTGTCCAATCACACTTGGCCAATAAAGAATTCTATTCTATTCTGCATTCTATTCTATTCTGCATTCTATTTCTATTTCTACTTTACTTTAACTTTACTTTTTTACTTCACTTTACTTATTTTTTATTCCATTCCATTCCATTCCTTATTCTATTCTCTATTCTATTCTATTCTATTCTATTCTGTTCTAATTCCTATATTCTGTTTTACTCCATTCCTTATTCTATTCTATATTCTATTCTATTCTAATACAGTAATAACAAAATAACAAAAACAATAACAAAAATAAACAATAATGTAATAAATATTATGAAATATAAAACACTTTTTAAAAAACAATTAAAATTAATTTTATTCTTCATTCTGTTTTTTTAAATATGTGTGTGTTTGTCTGTGTGTGTGCATGCAAGCTTTGTTTCGGGGGAACAAACCAAAACCAATCAACTTTTGTATTTGATTTCAATACATAAAACTTTCTTTCGAAAACAAACAATACTTCTTCCCAGGCAAGAAAACCGCGCATGCGCAGTGAGACGAAAGGAAGCCTAGAAAGAGCCCCTGACTCGATTTTAAACGCTTCTCCCGGTCTTGAAGAGCCCAAGGGGAAAGATACGTGTACTCACTCGGGGTGCTTCTCACGTGGGGAAGGAGAGTTCTCCCGCTCTAGAGCGGCGCCTTCCAACTGCACTTCCGGTACACGCACCAATGAAATGTCGGGATGACCGGAAGGGGCGGGCTTAGGCGCGGCAAATGAGTATTTTCGGAGTCCTCTTTCGGGGCCGCAGGGCGAGAATTTCTTGTCGGAATCGCCGCCGTTATGGCCAGCCAGTCTCAGGGCATCCAGCAGCTGCTTCAGGCCGAGAAACGCGCCGCCGAGAAAGTGGCCGAGGCCCGCAAGCGTGAGTGTCCGGCCTGGCTGCGGAGGGAGGAAACGGGGCTCTTTCCGAGGGGCTGGGACTACACCTCCCATCGTCCTCAGCCCTTCAGGGAGTGGAGTGGGATGGGTGGGTGACCCAAAGCCTTTCTAGCCCTGCTTGTATGGGCGAAGGGATTGGGACCCCACGTCCAATCATCCCCAGCCATTAAGAAAGGGGATGTTCCAGAGACACTACATATCCCATCATCCTGCGTGGGAACGGCCCCCCCATAGCCTCCCCAGAGGCCTTGCACTGCCTGTTTCACCCTTTTCTCTCCATGGTGGTGGTCTTGGGTGAGTGGGTGGGTTGGACTACACCTCCTATCGTCCCCGGCCTGTAGGGGAGAGGGTTGGTCTACTGTCTTTCCAGCCCAGATTGAGTGGGAGCGGTAGTCCCGAGGGATTGCGCCCCACATTTCATCATCATCCCCTCCCCGCTTTTAGGAAAGGGAAGGCCTAGAGTCACCACATATCCCATCATCCTGCATGAGAAGAGCCACCTATAGCTTCCCCGGAGACCTTAACATTGCCTGTTTCATCCATTTGTGGTTTTTTGTCTCATTTCCTTTGCGTGATTGTGCGTGTGTGTGTGTGGTTGGACTACACCTCCCATCCTCCCCAGCGTACAAGGTCCCCCCCCCCATGGGCTACTTTAAAACAAACCAGGTCCACATATGGGGCCGCATGCATGGATTCATGCCTTTTCCTTGCGTGCTTTTTTTTTTTTAATGGCTCTGGGGTTTTTTAATTGGGTTATTGTGTTTTTGTATTGATTTGCTTGTTTGGCTCATCAGTTATGTTATTTGCTGGGTTTTAATTAGGGGGAGCTGCCCAGAATAGCACACGAGAGGCGATCAACTCTACAAATTGAATCAATGAAGGAATTGATGCATTTCTGGATCGGAGCAATGCTATGTTTTACTCATTTTGAGGATGAGGGGTTTACAAATAAACGGCGGTACATAGGAGGGATTTTGCCCTAAATTGTCTTTTATTACAGAGAAAAACAGGCTGGAGGTGGCGGGGATAGCATTGACTCATTTGGAGGCTGCCTATTTACTTCATATATTTATTAACCATCTCAAGGTCCATGAATCTGGACAGCTCATAATTAAAAACATACAGTAAACAAAATTTTACTGCTTCATTAAAAAAATAAAAGAAAATTATAGGCTACCTTAAGAGAAGCAAACCTACAAAGCTAATAATCCTCTCACTAAAGATAATTGGTGGGATGATTATTAGCTTTGAGGTAGGTTTGCTTGAGGATAATCAAGAAATGTATTCACTAAAGCGTCTCTTTCATTTCTTATTTTTCCAGCTTTTAGTTACCCTGTTTGAAAGGTTTATACTTTAATTGGGGGAAATTTCCCTCATGTGATATTTGCCATAGCCGTAACCTTCCCGTGTAGTTTTTCTTCCAAAGGTCCGGCTACAAACCCCTTAATGCTGGTTTGCAGGATTTGATGGCCTTTCCAGAGGAAAGGTTACTATGATATATGAAATATTTTGAACAAAACCTAATCTTTGAAACATCTCCCCAACCTATTCCCTAGCAGAGATCTTGGTTTGCATTATTCATTCTTAAGGGAGGCTCAGTTCCAAGAAAAGAGACAAATTGGGAGACGGAGAGACATCCTGCCTTCCTTCCAAGAATAATTTTTGAAGTTGGTTACGTAACTTACTTGTGTAAAACCAATTTTAATTTGCAGACTTCCTGTGATCTGCATAATGTCAGTAGCATACTGATAGTCCCCCGAGATCTACGGTGCATCAGTTTAACTTGATTAAAACTGAATTGAGAAGGTTATGGAGTGTTGGTGTATTTTTAAGTACCTTGCTGGGATATCTGTGCTGGGAATTCAGCTTAACTAAGACTGCTGGTTTTTAAATTGTATTTTCAGTCTTCCTGTTTGCATGAATTTTTAATATAGTGGTCTCTAGAACCTTCATATGGCATGATTTCAAGAAAAGGAACTTAAGTCTGGCCAAGAACAATGGATCATGTGCTGGAAATGTTGCATTGCTAGGAAAATAATTCTGACTAATGTCTGTTTTTAAGCCTTTAATTAAGAAACTAACTAGAGCCAACTCAAAAACTGGATTGTCTGCACGCATCAGGCTTGATGTTTCCAGTTCTTTGGGCTAACTTTTCGGGAAAAGATGGGCTTCAATATTAGAATTAGAATTCTTTATTGGCCAAATGTGATTGGACACACAAGGAATTTGTCTCCGGTGCAGAAACTCTCAAGTGTACATACAAGCAATAAGTGATAAATCATGATCATAGTCATCATAAAGATACATTTGTCATAAATCACAAGATACAACACTTAGTGATAGTCATAAAATAGAATAGAATTCTTTATTGGCCAAGTGTGATTGGATACACAAGGAATTTGTTTTGGTACAAATGCTCTCAGTGTTCAGAAAAAGAAAAAAAAATACATTAGTCAAGAATCATAAGTAGAACACTTAATAATAGTCAAAGGATACAAATAAGCAATCAAATCATACTAGGAAACATAAGTGATCAAATCGAATTATACCAGTAAACAATCAATTAAAAAAATCATAAGGATACAAGCAACAAAGTTACATTCGTGCAGTAATAAGTGGGAGGAGATGGGTGATATGGAGTGATGAGAATATTAATAGTAATAGTAATGCAGATTTAGTAAATAGTTTGACAGTGTTGAGGGAATTATTTGTTTAGCAGAGTGATGGCGTTCGGGGAAAAATGGTCCTTGTGTCTAGTTGTTTTGGTGTGCAGGGCTCTATAGCATCATTTTGAGAGTTGAAACAGTTTATGTCCGGGATGTGAGGGGTCTGTAGATATTTTCACAACCCTCTTTTTGACTCATGCAGTATACAGGTCCTCCATGGAAAGCAGGTTGGTAGGAAGTTTTTTCTGCAGTCCTAATTACTCTCTGGAGTCTGTGTCTGTCTGTCTTGGGTTGCAGAACTGAACCAGACCGTTACAGAGGTGCAGATGACAGACTCAATCATTCCTCTGTAATAGGGGTCTCCAACCTTGGCCACTTTAAGACTGATGGACTTCAACTCCCAGATTTCCTCCTCCAGTCATGTTAGCTCAGGAATTCTGGGAGTTGAAGTCCACCAGTCTTAAAGTGGCCAAGGTTGGAGACCCCTGCTCTGTAGAACTGGATCAGCAGCTCCTCAGGCAGTTTCACCTTTCTGTGTGGGTGCAGAAAGAACCTTTTTCGTTGTGCTTTTTTGATGACATTTTTGATGTTAGGTGTCCATTTTAGGTCTTGAGATATTTATTTCGGATACTTAATAAGCAATCAACATAAATCATAATAGGATACCAAGTGAACAACAATAGGTCCCTTTTTGTAACTTCGAGCGGTCGTTATACAAACCATTGTAAATCAAGGACTACCTATACAAGGGAAAGCGAGCTGGGTTGAAAAAAAGGTGGCCAAGGATATTTTTTAAAAACTGCATTTTGGGGGTTGTTCTTTTTTGTTCCTTCCTTGGAGGACTACCTGTGATGATTTCAGCCTGGATGACTTTCACAATATGACACTACCGCTTGAAATTTATCTCAGAAAAATCCTCTTTTCTGTTTTGCCCTCAGAATGTTTTGCTTTTGTTTCTATTTTTCAAATACAGGGAAGAATCGGCGGCTGAAGCAGGCCAAGGAAGAAGCTCAGGCCGAGATCGAGCAGTATCGCTTGCAGCGGGAGAAGGACTTCAAAGCAAAAGAGGCCGCGGTGTGTTAAACTCTAAACTGGCTAAGCTCTCTGTCTTCCTGTCTGTTTCTGTCTTAAAATGGAATATTCGGTTGGGATGTGAGATTATTTGTAGTGGCTTCACCTCCCCCCCCCCCCCGCCTTTGTCCCTTTGAGGCTCAGCTCTTCTCTCTTGCTCATAGAGGTAGAGTCCTCAACTTACAGCAGTTCGTTAGTGGCCATTCAAAGTTATGATGGCATTGAAAAATGGGACAGTTATGACCTTTTGCAGCATCCCCATGATTATAGCAATAGCCCTTAGACTTATATACTGCTTCACAATACTTTACACCTCTTTCTAAGTGGTTTACAGAGTCAGCCTATTGCCCCCAACAATCTGGGTCCTCATTTTACCCACCTCGGAAGGACGGAAGGCTGAATCAGCCTTGAGCCTGGTAGGATTCGATCTGCCAAATTGCAGGCAGCTGGCTGTCAGCAGAAGTAGCTTGCAGTACCGCACTCTAACCATTGCACCACCGAGGCTCTTACTACTTTTACTATTGGAGCCTCGGTGGCACAGTGGTTAGAGTGCTTTTAGTGCGGCTTGGCTTCAGGTGAATGGCCGGCTATCGTTTATTAGGAACCTAGGTTTCATCTGGGTAGCTGGTTGGGGTGTGTTTGAGCTGGAGGTATCAGGGGGAGTCTGTTTGTGCCCAGGTATTTGCTTGGCTTGTGGTGTGGAGATTTTTTTGTTTGTGAGTGCATGCTTCCAGATAATTGACAGTCTGGTGGAGTCATCTCTTCTATTCATGCTTTCGGGTCTTTTTTCAATCTCTTTCTGCCGAAACTTCACTACAACTTTAAAAGCACAACTATAATGACGTGCAGAAGCATTGAAGGAAGTGCAGAACTTAACTGGATGAGCTGATTTTAAATGGGGTGCCTTCATTTGTTTCCCCTCCCCCCTTCTTTTTTTTGGTCTCCGTTTATCGCAGGCGCTTGGCTCCCACGGAAGTTCAGCCACCGAGGTAGAACAGGAAACCCAGGAGAAGATGGCTGTTCTTCAGGACAACTTCCAAAAGAATCGGGAGGAAGTGATAAACAGCTTGCTGAATTTGATCTTTGACATCAAGCCTCAAATCCATTCAAACTATCGGATCAACGGATAGACAAATCTTTGGTCCTTCAGGAAAATATTCAGCAATACCAGCTTTAGCTGCACCCCCTTTTTATCAAGGTGCATAACTTAATTCCCAAGAGGTGTAGATGATCTCTTTCTCTTTCCCCCCCCTTTTTTTCCATAAAGGTTTCTTGTTTCCCCCCTTTTGTAGTACTTTGGAAATTTCTATGTAGGCTGGTTCTGTGTGCATTATTTCATAGATGTGTAGCGTAGAAGGTTAATGTCGGATAAATTGTACTGAGTATTAAAGCATCACTTTGAACCCCAAGAAGTATTTAAAAGTCAGTAAAGATAAGTGCCAGGCTGCTTTTCTGTATCCTTAAATTCCAAACTTAGTGGCTCTGATACAAATAAAATTCTCTTCCTTGTAAAAAAATAAACAAAATAGGAATTTTGTTTGCGGAATGAATAGTATTTGGATTGTATCTGAAAATGTTTAAACGTTATTTAAATAATAACACTGTATTCTCCTGTGGAACTTGAACAAGGCGCTGCTGTTAAGGTGCTTAAAGAGCTGATCTGAGCTGTAAAGAAATTAAAACCTTTTTTTTTCCTTTTCCTCCTCAGAAATTTTGATTTATGAAATATGGATGTGGCTGACTTAAACTGGGTTTAGTTTTGATGCAACAATAGCAAAGAAGCTCTTGATCATGTTTGGAATCCACATTGGATATAAAAATAGTACAACATAAACATAAATGGGTGGGTGGGTAGAAAGATGGATGGATATAGATGGAGGAAGGGAGATATATAGGTACCAATAGATGAATAGATGGATGGATGGGTGGATGGATAGATAGATAGACAGAGTCCTCGACTTACAATAATTCATTTAGTGACTGAAATTAAAATAGCACTGAAAAAGTGACATAACCAATTTATGACCGTTGCAACAGCTCCATGGTCACATGATTGATGTTTGACAGCTGATTCACATTTACAAGAGTTGCAGTGCCATGAGGTCATCACCTTTTGGCAAGCAAAAATCAATGGGAATGCCAGATTCACTTAACAGCGGTGTTACTAATTTAACAAGTGCAGTGATTCACTTAGCAAATGGGGCAAGCAAAGTGGTAAAATGGAGCAAAATTCACTTAACAAATTTCTCTCTTAGCAACATAAATTTGGGGCTCAATTGTCATAAGTTGAGGACTATCTGTAGATGGATGGATGGATAGATAGATGATAGATGAATATAAATAGATATAATAAAGATGATATTTAGATATATATAGATAGATGATAGGGTTTGATAGATGGAAAATGATACATATAGATAGATGAGAGTAGAAAATGGATAGATACTGTAGATAGATGATAGATAGTTGTAGATGATAGATGATAGAAATAGATAAATAGAGATGATATTTAGATATATAGATATACATAGATGAAAGGGTTCAATAGATGGAAAATGATATACACTGCTCAAAAAAATAATGGGAACACTTAAATAACACAATGTAACTCCAAGTCAATCACACTTCTGTGAAATCAAACTGTCCACTTAGGGAGCCACACTGATTGACAATCAATTTCACATGCTGTTGTGCAAATGGAATAGACAACAGGTAGAAAGCATAGGCAGTTAGCAAGACATCCCCAATAAAGGAGTGATTCTGCAGGTGGTGACCACAGACCACTTCTCAGTTCCTATGCTTTCTGGCTGATGGTTTCTACTGTATGATGCAATATTAACACAATATCAATTGTATAGAATGCAATTGCCCCCCCCCCCCTTCTTTGGAAGAACTTTAAGAAAGTTCAGAACATTCTCAAAGATCCAACTCATCCTGGGCAACCCCCCCCCCCTAAAAAAAAAAAAAAAAATTACCACCTGGTAAACGGTACAGGATAATACAAACAAGGACAAATAGGCTGAAAAACAGCTGCTATCCCAGAGCAGTAACTGTATTGAATTCTACTGTATAGTGCAATATTCATGCAATATCAGGGAGTTTCCATTCAATTGCACAGAATGTGAAGGATGTTTGTTTGTGTTTATTTTTATAGTCATGATGTACACTGAAGATGGTATTTAATTTCGTTGTACAAGGTGCAATGACCATAAAGTAAACTAAACTAAATTAAATTAGCACTTCTGCTGACAGATTTTCTCTGAATCAGTGATGACCTTTGCAAAACCACAGAGCTTCACCCATGCTTGGGGGTGGTGGAGGGAAGGAAGGAAGCTATATTTTGACAGTGAGTGAATTTGCACAATGTAATACGAACCATCTGGGTGTATGCTCGCTGCTACTTGGATTTCCGAAAAAGAGTCATGAATTAGAACAAAGTTTTGTAATGTTCTGGCTGTTGCAATTTATTTATGAATGAATTCAAAAGATTACACAAGTCCACCTAAGCCTTCCGGTGAAAACCGACTCCCTAAATCCTATATGTCAGCAAGGCTCTGATTTCCAGAACAGAACGAATGAAAAATGCTCCGCTCTCGGTACTCTCTGTACCTCTGACATTCATTGTGTTGCTTTAAGAATATTTTGGTATTTGCAGAACCAACTACTAGCTGTGTAAAAACATCCTTGGCCAACAGCTTACAAAATCTGGCAGCCTTGCAGTTGCAGCCAATTCATAGTCTCCACCAAACTCCTCCTAATGCTTGAATTGTCCAGAGGCCTATCTGTTTCTCCAGGGTTTGTCAATACTTTGACAGAAAACTAAGTGGACTTCAAGGAAATGTTTATGGTGCTGGTCCTTTCAAACCTTCTTTGCAATTGCCCCTAATTTTAATCTATTTTTTTTTCTTACCACGGGCCAGTTTGTGTCCGTCATTTTAGGACGAAAAATACATTGTCCTCATGGACTATGGGGAATCCATTGTTGTATACACTACATTTCTAACATGATAATAAAATGTTTTATGGACAGAGAGCCAGGAGAAAGCATATGGGATCAGGATGCCAGGCTGGTTTCATTTCTTTTATAATATTACCAGATTTAAAGGAAGTGCAGTTAAGACAAGATATTTATCCTCTCTGCTACATTAAACATTACAATAACGGTTGACAATAAAGAGGGAAGGACTTCTCCAGATTAAAAAAAAAATTGATGATCACCATCCATTTAGACCTAGATTGTGTTCGGCATGGATTATTTGTTACGTCTTGCTGGGATGTTTAGAAGCAATTCCGGAGAAGATGAAAGGCGGAGCAGCTAGACCGAACATCCTCATTGCCAGCCTGTAGGCAGACGTGTTGGGTGTCCTGTCTCCAGCTGTGAGAATCAACCTTA